AAAATTATGTTAAAAAACATTTGGATTATTTAAAAATTAGAATGAATGATTATTCGACAAAATGAAAATTATGATGAATGGTATTTCGAAATATGAAAATTATGTGAATTGACGTTTCGATAATTAGAATTTCGATGTTTTGAATATTATGAAATTGAATTTTGGGCAATAATCATGCGCCCCCCCCCCTCGCCATACTTTCAAAAATTGAAATATTATTTTAAAACGCTGAAAAATGTAATAAAAATTAATTTTATTAAAACGTAAATTTAATCAAATTTAGTTTAACCCGTCGCCTATATTTTGACAATCTCACTCCATACTTTGCAAAATGAATATTTTTTAAAAATAAAAAAATTTAATTAAAATTATTTTTCTATCAACCATACTTTGCTTAACTTTTCCCACACTTTGCAAAATGAGAAGAAATTTTTTTAAACTGAAAAATTCAAATAAGATTAATTTTCCCCGCCACCCATACTTTAACAGACTGTTCCCATACTTTCAAAAATAAAATATTTTTTTTAAAAAGCTGTAAAATTTTGATAAAATATAATATTTTCTGCCACCATACTTTAAAAAATTTATATATTATTTTAAAACGCTGAAAAATATAATAAAAATTAATTTTTTTAAAACGTAAAATTTAATAATAATAAATATTTTGACAATCTCACTCCATACTTTGCAAAATGAATTTTTTTTAATAACAAAAAAATTTAATTAAAATTGATTTTTTCATCACCCATACTTTGGTATACAGTTCCCACAGTTTGCAAAAAGAAAAGATATTTTCACAAAACTGGAAAATTTAAATAAGGTTATAATTTTCTCCGTCACCCATACTTTGTCATACTTTTCCCATACTTACAAAAATTGAATATTTTTCAAAAAAGATGTAAAATTAGATAAAAAAATAATATTTTCCCTCGCCTATTCTTTTAAAATTAAAATATTTTTTAACAAAGCTGAAAAATGAAATAAAAATTAATTTTTTTAAACAGTAAAATTGAATAAAATTTAGTTTAACTCGTCGCCTCTATTTTGACAATCTTTCTACACAATTCGCAAAATGATTTTTTTTAAAAACTGAAAAAGATACTTAAAATTGATTTTTTTATCACTTATACTTTTATATGCTGTTCCCACAGTTTGCAAAAAGAAAAGATATTTTCACAAAACTGGAAAATTAAAATAAGGTTAATTTTCTCCGTCACCCATACTTTGCCATACTTTTCCCATACTTACAAAAATTGAATATTTTTCAAAAAAGCTGTGAAATTTGATGAAAAAATAATATTTCCTTTCGCCCATTCTTTCAAAAATAAAATGTTATTTAAAAAAGCTAAAAAATGTAATAAAAATTTTTTTTAAAAAGTAAAATTGAATAAAATTTAGTTTAACCTGTTGCCTATTTTTTGACAATTTTTCTACACAATTCGAAAAATAAATTTTTTTTAAAAACTGAAAAAGTGATTTAAAATTGATTTTTTCATCACTTATACTTTTATATGCTGTTCCCACAGTTTGCAAAAAGAAAAGATATTTTCACAAAACTGGAAAATTTAAATAAGGTTAATTTTCTCCGTCACCCATACTTTGCCATACTTTTCCCATACTTACAAAAATTAAATATTTTTCAAAAAAGCTATGAAATTTGATGAAAAAATAATATTTCCTTTCGCCCATTCTTTCAAAAATAAAATGTTATTTAAAAAAGCTAAAAAATGTAATAAAAATTTTTTTTAAAAAGTAAAATTGAATAAAATTTAGTTTAACCTGTTGCCTATTTTTTGACAATTTTTCTACACAATTCGAAAAATAAATTTTTTTTAAAAACTGAAAAAGTTACTTAAAATTGATTTTTTCATCACTTATACTTTTATATGCTGTTCCCACAGTTTGCAAAAAGAAAAGATATTTTCACAAAACTGGAAAATTAAAATAAGGTTAATTTTCTCCGTCACCCATACTTTGCCATACTTTCCCATACTTACAAAAATTGAATATTTTTCAAAAAAGCTGTGAAATTTGATGAAAAAATAATATTTCCTTTCGCCCATTCTTTCAAAAATAAAATGTTATTTAAAAAAGCTAAAAAATGTAATAAAAATTTTTTTTAAAAAGTAAAATTGAATAAAATTTAGTTTAACCTGTTGCCTATTTTTTGACAATTTTTCTACACAATTCGAAAAATAAATTTTTTTTAAAAACTGAAAAAGTGATTTAAAATTGATTTTTTCATCACTTATACTTTTATATGCTGTTTCCACAGTTTGCAAAAAGAAAAGATATTTTCACAAAACTGGAAAATTTAAATAAGGTTAATTTTCTCCGTCACCCATACTTTGCCATACTTTTCCCATACTTACAAAAATTAAATATTTTTCAAAAAAGCTATGAAATTTGATGAAAAAATAATATTTCCTTTCGCCCATTCTTTCAAAAATAAAATGTTATTTAAAAAAGCTAAAAAATGTAATAAAAATTTTTTTTAAAAAGTAAAATTGAATAAAATTTAGTTTAACCTGTTGCCTATTTTTTTAAAATTTTTCTACACAATTCGAAAAATAAATTTTTTTTAATAACAAAAAAATTTAATTAAAATTGATTTTTTCATCACCCATACTTTGGTATACAGTTCCCACAGTTTGCAAAAAGAAAAGATATTTTCACAAAACTGGAAAATTTAAATAAGGTTATAATTTTCTCCGTCACCCATACTTTGTCATACTTTTCCCATACTTACAAAAATTGAATATTTTTCAAAAAAGATGTAAAATTAGATAAAAAAATAATATTTTCCCTCGCCTATTCTTTTAAAATTAAAATATTTTTTAACAAAGCTGAAGAATGAAATAAAAATTAATTTTTTTAAACAGTAAAATTGAATAAAATTTAGTTTAACTCGTCGCCTCTATTTTGACAATCTTTCTACACAATTCGCAAAATGATTTTTTTTAAAAACTGAAAAAGATACTTAAAATTGATTTTTTTATCACTTATACTTTTATATGCTGTTCCCACAGTTTGCAAAAAGAAAAGATATTTTCACAAAACTGGAAAATTAAAATAAGGTTAATTTTCTCCGTCACCCATACTTTGCCATACTTTTCCCATACTTACAAAAATTGAATATTTTTCAAAAAAGCTGTGAAATTTGATGAAAAAATAATATTTCCTTTCGCCCATTCTTTCAAAAATAAAATGTTATTTAAAAAAGCTAAAAAATGTAATAAAAATTTTTTTTAAAAAGTAAAATTGAATAAAATTTAGTTTAACCTGTTGCCTATTTTTTGACAATTTTTCTACACAATTCGAAAAATAAATTTTTTTTAAAAACTGAAAAAGTGATTTAAAATTGATTTTTTCATCACTTATACTTTTATATGCTGTTCCCACAGTTTGCAAAAAGAAAAGATATTTTCACAAAACTGGAAAATTTAAATAAGGTTAATTTTCTCCGTCACCCATACTTTGCCATACTTTTCCCATACTTACAAAAATTAAATATTTTTCAAAAAAGCTATGAAATTTGATGAAAAAATAATATTTCCTTTCGCCCATTCTTTCAAAAATAAAATGTTATTTAAAAAAGCTAAAAAATGTAATAAAAATTTTTTTTAAAAAGTAAAATTGAATAAAATTTAGTTTAACCTGTTGCCTATTTTTTTAAAATTTTTCTACACAATTCGAAAAATAAATTTTTTTTAAAAACTGAAAAATTTACTTAAAATTGATTTTTTCATCACTTATACTTTTATATGCTGTTCCCACAGTTTGCAAAAAGAAAAGATTTTTTTACAAAACTGGAAAATTTAAATAAGGTTAATATTTTTCGTCACCCATACTTTGCCATACTTTTCCCATACTTTCAAAAATTAAATTTTTTTTTTATTAAAATGTACTATTACATTTTTAATTTGAATTTACTAATTAATATTGTATTTGGTTACCTTTATTTTTTTCTGTTATTTGCTGTCTTTCTCCTTTTGCAATATTCTTTCTATTTTTCTATTTTAATTTTTTTTTGCGTTTTCGGCTTGTCAACTAATTTGGTTATATTTTTGTTTTATACATAATTTCATTGTTTTTTTTTATTCTTTGAAGATAGGTTTACTCTTTAAAATTGTTAAAATGACTAGAAATGTAGTGTAAAAATGATGATTGTCGAGTGTTTTCATTTTTCTGGTGTTATTTTTGTTGCTCCTCATTTTAACACCTATAATTGGAGTTAAAGTGATACCCCCTGTTTAACTGTGCTTGATATTATATAATTATAGGTATACATATACATATATGTGCTGCACAATTAAAAAGGAATTTCATATAATTCATACAATTTGTTTAATGAGGTAAATAGCTTTAATATGATTGCTTTTTGTAGCCATAACTAAATTGCTTAGTTACAATCGTTTAAGGACTATAGAGTTATGACTGGCATTGAGTTCGTTGCATGGTTTATGAATTGTAAACGCTGTATATACCATGGCGAGTTAATGAAAACAGTTCAAGTCCCCTCTCTTGCGTCATGTAGCGGCGCTTCTTTTAAGCTACGCTAAATATTAAATGTTATTTAACAATCTGCCTAAAATAGGAAAAAAATGTTGAATTTTGAAATGCAAAGATAGCATTACGCGTGCATAATGCTAGCTTTACGCGTCTACGCGATACGCGCGTCTCGTATATGCGGAACCAGTATGATAGGGACGCCCGATCAGGCCCCGATCAGGGCCATGACACTGCACAGGAAATTGCCTCGTCCTGGAGAAACTAAGATGCATAATAAGGCAAGAAACGAAGACACTGGACTGTGAGTCGTGTCGCTTTGCCAGAAGACTTCTGACTATTCTGATATATCAGTCGCTCTCGCCAGTGATGAATAAGAAGGCTTGCTTGAATATTGTGAAATATAGGCGCATGTACGGAAGCGCCTATACGCCACTGTAAGCGAAGTGCGTGTGTGTGCCTAAAGTAAGGTACACATGCCAGAATTGCGTGCGAGGGACCCCTTTAGGCTAACCGAAATTTCCTAGAATAGAATGAATTGCGAGCGAGCCTACCCCCTAGGCTAGCTGAAATTCGTTAAAATTAAACGACTGTGTGAAAAAGAGGTTATGTTTGACGTTCTTGAAACGTTAACTTAGTTAAAAGTTTCTTTTTAAATAATTAAAAAGTAGAAATTTTGTGAGGTAAGTTGAATTTATTTAGAAATAAGAAAAATTAAAATAATTTTTTTGAAATTAAATTGATAATTGTTAGCTGTGTAAGAAACTTATGTTTAATTAATTAATAATTTCTTAACTCTTATTAAAGAGTTTCAAAAATGCTCGGTTTTTTTTAAATTCGATTTTTTACTTCATTGTTTGTACCTGTATATTGAAGAAAATATAAATAAAATTTTCCATAAATAATACAACTAATATTTTTTTGCAGAACGTTCAGTTTAATTCCTGAAAATGGATCAAAATAATTATAGACAAATTATTTTAAAATTTGGCGACGAATCGCAAAATATTTTCGTTGAAAATAATAAATTAAATAAAAGTACTTTGGAGGAATACTTTCCCAAGGGAAGTACTTTAAAGTACATTTTAAATGGAGAATCTTTTCTCCCAAATGCGGATGCCAGTTTTATACATTTGAATCCTGCAGCCGATGAATACTTGGTGTCACTTCCAAGAGGTAATATTTATTTTAATTTGCTTTATTATTCATTTTCTTTAAATAATCTTCATTAATAAATAAAAAATTTTTTAGTATAATATCCAAATTATTGTAATCTAATCAAAGTTTAGTCGATTTTTATTTTTCTCTATCGAAATTTGAAACTGTTAAATTTAATTTTTTATGAAAAAAAAACAATTCATTAGAATTATAGCATACAATTTATTTATATGTTAATTTGTTTTATTTAACATTTTTATCACTTTTAAAAAAATTGCTCCTTTTATTCTATTACTATAAAAAATATACTGTCATGATTCAAAATTAGTTATGAGTTTGGCTTTTTTTCATTTTTATAAATTTTGAAAATAAAAAAAATTCCCATAGGACAGGGAAATAAGAAAAGAAAGGAAAATATACAATTATCAAAAATGTAAAATTATCTAAATTTTCGTTCTCATCTTAAAAATTGGAAAATCAATCATACATAATCTATTTTCAATTTTTGTATTTAACTTATTGAATTCTGACAAGAATTGATTTTAAAAAAAATATTTAATTTAAATCTTAGAAACTGTTTGAATATTATTGTAAATATAATCGTATTTTTTAAGAAATCTAACTAAAAATTTGGTAAATTGTTGACTTTTACGAAAAATTAGAATTGTTAAGAGGAAAGCAGGATATAAGAGATATAAGAGGATATAAGAGAAAAAGTGAATATTTTTTTACGAATATCAGGGTAATGCATAATCAAATTTTTTGTGATAATCCTAAATAAAATGAGATAATTTTTTTGGACATTGAATTGACTAAAGAAGTTTTTGGAGTCGTAAATTTTAATTTCTTCATAGCTTCTTTTTTAATAATTAATTAAATTAAAAAATAGCTTGTATTTAATGTTCTGACTAAAGGTACTCTTTTCTTATATTGAAGTGATGGAAGGATATAAATTTTTTAACATTTCTTATAATTTTTTATCTTGATTAAATAATTAAATAATTAATAATAATTAAATACAGTAAAACCTTGTTTATCCGAGACTCTTGTTTATCCGAGTCACTAAACATGCTCGGATAATGCGGAATGACTCGAATAAAACGGATGGAGCGACCAAGTCTGGAAAAAAATTTTCACAGAACCACTACTTACATTCATTGTATGTAAAATTTCATCTGTTTTTTGTCGTTTGGTATTATTTTAACACTTTAAACATATAAAAAGTAATTAAAATTTTCATTAGTTCGTATTATCCGAGGCACCTCTTCCCTTCATTACCTCGGATAATCGTGGTTCTACTGTATTCAAAAAAATTTATCTTCTTATATTTCCAATTGTAACATTCTGCTGAAATTAAATTAATGGAATTTAAACTTGATGTATCTTGATGTATATATGTGAATTATATTTTCAGATTTTCTTGAGGATTTACAAAATAACATTGATGTAAGTTTTATAAAGAAAATTATTTAATTTTCTTATAATATATATATAAATATATAATATAACACCTGAAGCTTAAATTGTTTTTTTATCAATATAATTTTTTAATTTCATATTTTATTTTTTTTAGATTAAAAAAAAAAATGTGTTTCTTATAAAACGGATAAATGAGTATTTTAATGAAGGCTGCACTCATACAGATATAGTATCACGCATCAGAAAAAGTTGTAATATTCAGTTATCATTGCGGACTTTATCTAGAATAATGAGAAAATATGCCATGAAGAGAAAAAATATAAAAGAGAGTCCAATTGAAGAAATTGCTGTTGCCATTTTATTGGAGATCGAGGACAGTGGTCATAATCTTGGATATCGCGCTATGTGGAAAAGATTACAAGGATTGTACAAATTAAAAGTTAAACAAAAGACTGTGATGAAATTACTGAGAATTATAGACCCCGAAGGCGTCGAAACTCGCTCTAGATATAAATTGAAACGTCGGATTTATAATGTTCCAGGGCCAAATTTCATTTGGCATGCTGACAACCATGACAAGCTTAAAAGATTTGGATTTCCAATATATGGTTGTATAGACGGATATTCGCGGAAAGTTTTATGGATAGAAGTATCGAGAACCAACAACAATCCAGCCATAATTGGTTCTTATTTTCTGAAAGCGATAGAAAAATGTAAATTTTTACCAACTTTAATTAGAACTGATAAAGGAACTGAGGCCAATTTAATGGAAGATTTGCACATGGCTTTAAGACATTCGCATAATGACGAATTCAGTGGCACTAATAGTTTTTTACGGGGGAAAAGTACGAGAAATCAAAGGATTGAATCATATTGGAGACAATTCAGACAGCATATGGGCGACTTTTATATCAACTTATTCAAGAAAATGGAAGAAGATAATTTACTAAATGTAAGTAATAGGGTACACATAGAATGTTTACGATATTGCTTCGAATTGGTAATTAAAGAGGACATTAGAGTGACAATTAAAGAGTGGAATGAACATCGGGTAAGAAAACAGAACAATAGGAACGTAGTCGGTGGAATTCCGAATATGCTTTTCGAATGCCCTGAAATGTTTGGTGCTACAGATTGGAAGAAGGAAGTAGATCTTAATCACGTGTCTTTTTTAAAAAAATATACTGAAGAGCCATATTTGATATCTCCAATCTTCAAAGAATTTGCAGATGATGTGCTACAAATGTCTCCACAACCATCAACTGCTGAAGAGGCTTACAACTTATATGTAAAACTTATAAACATGATCGAAAAGTTGTAGGCAAATTAGTGATTAGTAGAGAAATTATTTATTTACTCATCAAATGTTTTTAAGAATAATTGAATCTTTTTATGAAATTCTATTAAAATTGTCTTGAAAATAATTGAATTCCTTTAAAGAATTTTACTATTTATAAAAGTAATTTGAATTTTTCCAAAGATTATGTACGTGTAATATTTGTTAGTAATAATTATTAATTATTACATTTATTATTTAATTGTTTCTGTAATCATAAAAATGTCAAGAATAAAAAATTTAATTTATTTTTTCTAATAGTTTATTTATATTGTTTAAATGTTTATAGATATTTTCATTATTACATTATATGTATGTCTATATATCAGGGAATTCAGGGAAAATTCAGGGAAACTAAAATTGGTCAGGGAAAAGTCTGGGTTTTTTAGTAAAAGTACTGGAAAAAATTGAATTTTAAAAATTCATGAAAAAACTCTAAATTTTTATGTTTTTTTTGTTTGCCTCGTAAACTATGAAATTACCCCAAATTTTAATACAAAACCTTGAATTTTTTCTATTTCAGACAATAATTTCTTTTTAAATAACTTAATTTTACAAGAACTATCATGAAATTATGACTTAAAAATTATTTAATAAATCATTCTAACAATTTTCATAAATTCTTGTCAAAATTTCAATTATCTTTATATATAATAAAATTCTGTAATATTCAATTATTTTTATGTATAATAAAATTCTTCACCGAAATTCAAACTTTTTTTAGAAAAATTTTAATAACATTTTTGAGAAAATTTTTAATTATTTTCATAAATAATAAAACTCATCGCAGGATTTTAATTAATTTTTGATACAATATTTTAATCAAATTCATTTTTTAATTTCAATAATTTAATTCTTCTAGAATTTTCTAATGAAAATTGATTAAAAAATGAATTACCGAATAATTGATTTATTATTTTTGCAAATAATTGAATTCTTGCAACGAATTTTATTACAATTTTTTCAAATAATTGATATTTTTGAGAAAATATGCTACTTTTTAAAAATAATTGAATTCTTACAAAGAATTTTATTTGGATTTTTGTAAATAAAAAAATTTTTTTTGAAAAATTTCATGGTCTTCGACTCGGAGTGATCGCCTTCTTTATGTTTTGTAATAATATTCTTATAAATTTTTAAATTTCCAAAAAGGTTTGAATTGGAATGTATTGAAGAATTTTAATTTCTACGGTAAAAAAATAATGATTAAATATTTATTTAAAAAAGAAATTATTAATGTTTTTGAATAATTTTACAGTTAATGAAATTTGTAGATAAATATAATAGAATATTTTTTTGAGTTTCTAATAATTTTTAGAGTGAATCAAAATATTTTTTAGGGTTAGGGAAAGAGTGAAAATTTTGTCTGGAAATCAGGGAAAAGTCAGGGAAAAATAAAATTACATATTTGTGGCAACCCTGCATATATATAGATATATTATGTATAATCTGGCAGCGCTGATTCAAAGTAATAGAAGAATAATTTGCTTAAAAAAACTGAAGTTATAATTGAAATTAAATTTATTAAAGAGAGCATTTTCATTTCTTTTGTTTCATGAAATGATCTACTTTACCCATTATTTATAATTTATTATTATGTAAATTATGAAATTGTTCATTTTCAAATAAACTTCAATTTTTTGGTAATTTTAGATTCAACATTTAAAAAATTCACTTATTAAGTACATATTAAGTAAGTATTATTATGTATTATATAATTCATATAAAAATAAACATTATACAATACAGATATAAATATTAAATTACTTTGACAAAATACTTTTAAATGCTTAAAATTTTGCTTAAAAATATGTTAGTTTGTTTAGTCAATTTTTCATTTTACCTTTCTAAATTCTATTTCTTTGACATATTTCTTTAAATATTTATTTTCAAATTTAATTTTTCATAACAATTATTATTCTTATTATTATTAAAAATAAAGGATTTTTTAAAAATAATATTCTTTGTCCAGTTTAGCGCATTTGCTCCACTCCCCCTATTACTTAATTAAAATTATGTGAATATTTAATAAACAAAATTTCTTTACAATACTTTAAAATGTGAGTATCACTTTTTTATTTGACAATAATTTTTATAAAAGAACATTGAACTTTGTTCATTTTTAACAATATTTTGTATTAAATTCGCAAGTTAATAAATATTTTGTAAGACGTGAACAACTTTTGGCAAAATACTTAATAACAAAATATGAAATGTCGGAATAACATAAGGTAATATATGTTTTCAATAATTTTTTACTCAACATTGAAAGATTTTAAACTTAAAAATTTAAATATGTTAAATATTCAATTTTTAATAATAAATGAAACAAAAACGATGTACACTTACACAATGATATAAATTATACATTCAGTATTAAACACTACCAGTCTTAATCACAGCATGTAATACTTTGAGGTTTATTCTCTAAACATTTGAAACGAAACATACTAAGCTTAATTTTTGTAATGTTAGTATACAATAAAAAAACGAACTATTAAAACAATTACTTTGTAAAATATTGCAAAATAATTCTTAAAGAACTATTTATAATGAACACATTATATCGATTTGTACTTTCAAGCTTTACAGAAACAGAATAATCTTATATGAAGATGTGCAAAACCTTCAATTCATATTTTATACAACCAAAATTGAATTACATTTTTTGTACTGATAGGCACTCTAATAATGTTACAACATTTGGTCGCATTTGTGGGTCGTATGTAAAATATTTTTCAACGATGTGTTGAAAAAAGTAAGGAAGAGATTCTAAATTTGGAGTTAATTTTTGTTGAAAATTTTGTGCTAAAGACAACATCAAATTACGTCCTTGAATATTCCACACTGATTCCTCTGAAAACAATTCGACAATGGTACACCCAAATGCCCAGATATCCGACTCTACGGTGGCTTCTTTATGGTCCAAAAATATTTCCGGAGCCATATATAAGTACGTACCTCGAATAGTACCGACACTACTCGACTCTAAATTTGTGATAATTTTACTTTTTCCCAAACCCATGTCGCATAATTTGACACTGTAATGGTTATTAATTAAAATATTTGATGGTTTTATATCCCTATGAATGATAGGTGGTGATTGCGAGTGTAAGTAGCAAATTGCAGAGCATAACTGGCGCAATATATGCATTTTTGAAGAAAATTCTAGTAGCATTTTGTTATCTCTCTCTTTGGGGAATAAAATGTCATACAAAGATGAGGAATCAAAAAGCTCCATAACGATATGAAATTGTGATGGAGTTTCACTAACTGCCATAATCATAATAATGTTCGGATGTCTGATTATATCAAGGAGCTGTATTTCTCTCAAGGCAAGAGAAATATTTCTTCCTTTCGTAATAGATTTTATAGCCACATCACAATGAATATACTTCCCTCTTCTCACTATTCCTTGCCCCCCTCTTCCTAAAATGATGTCAGAAAATTGTAATTGATTTTCTTTGATGAAAGGTATAGACACTTTAAGCAATTTTGCTTTTTCGACCTTTGTGCATGTAGGTGTTTTAAAAACATGCGCAGAGTGTTCATTTCTTTCCATTTTCGGCATATTACTATCAATTGGTGCTTTTATTGTTATGTTTGAGAAAGAAGGTGATTTAATTGAGTCATTTTCATTAGTATTAACATATGATTTTTTCAGTGATTGTGATGAACTCGAGACAGATGATTGTTCGAATAACTTCGAAGATGACGGTGGTTTTGAAATAGAAGAATTTTCCATGGACTGTGAAGAGGACGATATGTTAATAACAGACGATTGTTCTAATGACTTTGACAATCTTGGCACTTTTGGGACAAACGATAGTTCAAATGGCTTCGAAGATAACGGTACTTTTGAGATAGGCGAATTTTCCATGAACTGTGAAGAGGACGATTTGTTGATGACAGACGATTGTTTTAATGACTTTGAAAATGTTGGTACTTCAGGTACAAACGATTGTTCCGATGGCCTTGAAAATGGCGCTACTTTTGAGGCAGACGATTTGTTTATGGACTGAGAAGATGACGATATGCTGTTGACAGATGATTCTTCTAATAAGTTTGAAAATGACGTTACTTTTGGGACAAACGATTTTTCCCATGCCTCTAAAAATGGCGATACTTTTGAAACAGAAGATTTCTTCATGGACTGTGAAGAGGACGATATGTTGATGACAGACGATTGTTTTAATGACTTTGAAAATGTCGGTACTTTAGGTACAAACGATTGTTCCGATGGCCTTGAAAATGGCGGCACTTTTGAGACAGACGATTCTTCCCATGGCTTTGAAAGTGACGATACTTCAAAGTCAACAGAATTTTTACAATGTGATGAATCAAAACTTGCGTGGAACGTAGGTACATCTTCCCGAAAACGATTAAAATTTTTTTCATTTAATTCAACCGAGACTTTTTCAATATTAGTCGCTGTTTCAGAAATTATTTTGCTTTCTAGAATTGAATTTTTTGTCGTCAATACACACAAACTTAACGAATGATTAGTGTTTTTTAATTTCAATTTACTAAATGTCCAAAAGTCACATAGTTCATTTTTTTCATTTAAGTATGTGGTAATAGGATTTCCATCGTGTGTTCCAATAAAAACTGTACTTTTTTCAATAATATCTGCATTATGCTCATCAATATATTGTTTCAAAATTGTAGATTGCAATTTATCAATCGGATAGTCCTCATTGAAATTTAATACAATTTTTTTCTTTTCTCCTAGAGGTCTTCCCACATAGTGGTATTGATCTGTACAAGATTTTCTATGCTTCCAGGAAACATGCACAATTCTGTTTAAAGGCTTCTTTGATTTATTAAATTCTTGTGACGTACTTTTTTTATTCTTTATTAAATCTTTGTCTTGATTTTTATTACTGATTTTTTGTCCAAAAAACTGAAAAAAAATTATTTTAATCATTAGTCTTATATAAAAAAATTTCAGAGTACAATAATATTGCTGAATATTTACTTATTTTAGGGCGTCTACTATTTTCGTTCAACAAAATTCCTGATTTATTTCCACCTTTGTCCTAATTTTTCCTTGTTTTTTTCTCGTCAAATTTAAAATTATTAGACTTTTTATGAATAATTACATTTTTTGAAAGTAATGTTTTTTTTTAATAATTTTAATTAAAATCTTTAAAAATAATTGAATTGTAGAGAACAATTTAATTATTTATAAAGATAAAATAAAATGTCATAAAATGTTCATAAAATTCAATTATTTATCAATTATTAAATTAGAATACTTTGAAAATTAAATTTGTTAAAAGTTTTTAATGAAATTCATAAATTTTATTATTTTCAGTTAAATTTCTCAAAAATTTGATTAATTCGATAATTTTTTTAAAAATACTTACATAGGTACTATACTTGAATCAGTGGCTGATTTTTTACTATCAAATTAATTATTGTCAACTCAAATTTAGAGAGCAGTATAAATATCTATAAAACAATGAAATAAAAAGAGATTTTTTAAAAGCAAATTAAAATAGTAAAACTTTTTTTTAATTTGGTGAAAAAATTCCCAGTTTGGCATAAAATTCCTAGCTTATTCTCGGTTTTTCCTGGTCAGATTAAATTCCCGGATTTCCCGATTAGTAGACACCCTGTTATTTACACAAATATAAATGTAATCACCTTTTTTCCTTCTGGTTCGTCTTTCCCCTTGTAAAGTTCGCCTAGCATGTCAAAATAACGTTGTCGTCTCTTTGTTCCTACTTCAGGTAATTCAGCATTACCTTTGCATATAACAGTAAACTTCTTTAGTCAATTCAATGTCCAAAAAAATTATCTCATTTTATTTAGGATTATCACAAAAAATTTGATTATGCATTACCCTGATATTCGTAAAAAAATATTCACTTTTTCTCTTATATCCTCTTATATCTCTTATATCCTGCTTTCCTCTTAACAATTCTAATTTTTCGTAAAAGTCAACAATTTACCAAATTTTTAGTTAGATTTCTTAAAAAATACGATTATATTTACAATAATATTCAAACAGTTTCTAAGATTTAAATTAAATATTTTTTTTAAAATCAATTCTTGTCAGAATTCAATAAGTTAAATACAAAAATTGAAAATAGATTATGTATGATTGATTTTCCAATTTTTAAGATGAGAACGAAAATTTAGATAATTTTACATTTTTGATAATTGTATATTTTCCTTTCTTTTCTTATTTCCCTGTCCTATGGGAATTTTTTTTATTTTCAAAATTTATAAAAATGAAAAAAAAGCCAAACTCATAACTAATTTTGAATCATGACAGTATATTTTTTATAGTAATAGAATAAAAGGAGCAATTTTTTTAAAAGTGATAAAAATGTTAAATAAAACAAATTAACATATAAATAAATTGTATGCTATAATTCTAATGAATTGTTTTTTTTTCATAAAAAATTAAATTTAACAGTTTCAAATTTCGATAGAGAAAAATAAAAATCGACTAAACTTTGATTAGATTACAATAATTTGGATATTATACTAAAAAATTTTTTATTTATTAATGAAGATTATTTAAAGAAAATGAATAATAAAGCAAATTAAAATAAATATTACCTCTTGGAAGTGACACCAAGTATTCATCGGCTGCAGGATTCAAATGTATAAAACTGGCATCCGCATTTGGGAGAAAAGATTCTCCATTTAAAATGTACTTTAAAGTACTTCCCTTGGGAAAGTATTCCTCCAAAGTACTTTTATTTAATTTATTATTTTCAACGAAAATATTTTGCGATTCGTCGCCAAATTTTAAAATAATTTGTCTATAATTATTTTGATCCATTTTCAGGAATTAAACTGAACGTTCTGCAAAAAAATATTAGTTGTATTATTTATGGAAAATTTTATTTATATTTTCTTCAATATACAGGTACAAACAATGAAGTAAAAAATCGAATTTAAAAAAAACCGAGCATTTTTGAAACTCTTTAATAAGAGTTAAGAAATTATTAATTAATTAAACATAAGTTTCTTACACAGCTAACAATTATCAATTTAATTTCAAAAAAATTATTTTAATTTTTCTTATTTCTAAATAAATTCAACTTACCTCACAAAATTTCTACTTTTTAATTATTTAAAAAGAAACTTTTAACTAAGTTAACGTTTCAAGAACGTCAAACATAACCTCTTTTTCACACAGTCGTTTAATTTTAACGAATTTCAGCTAGCCTAGGGGGTAGGCTCGCTCGCAATTCATTCTATTCTAGGAAATTTCGGTTAGCCTAAAGGGGTCCCTCGCACGCAATTCTGGCATGTGTACCTTACTTTAGGCACACACACGCACTTCGCTTACAGTGGCGTATAGGCGCTTCCGTAGAAATATAGGCGCATGTGCGTTACGTGAACGCGTAGGAGATATAAGACTCCCCCTGCCCATTCCGACTCGGGCGCCATATGACCGTCTCTGTCACGCGTCCGCCGCCCCCTCGCCCCTTGCGCTCATGCCACCCCCGCCTCTCCAGCGCGACCAGTGAGCCCCCCACTCCGCCTCCACGGCATATCCATAGACATATACACAGTGTCTATGGGCATATCGACGAGAGCCGAGCGCAGGCGAAGTCGGCCGAACGCCCCCGACTCGGGCTCTGCGCGCTCAACTCAACCTCGAAGAAGCATAGTTGCATTTAAACTGCCATCCCAAGGAGGTCTTCCGAGTCCTGGGATAGCTCGCGCTCCCCACGAAACACGGCAAAATTTTGTTTTCAATTTTTAGGTACACTGCAAATTACGATGAAAAAAATCGAAAGGTCAATTTTTCAATTTCAATAACAAAATGAAGCTTTAAAAATTGAATTTAAAAGAAAACCAAGTTCATAAGTGTTGTACAAGGAACAAAAAAGAAGTGTTACAGAAAGGACAATGTCCCTACTTCCGGATTGTGTCATCTTCTTCCGTTCCCATTCTGGATAAAGAGAAAAAAAAGTGTTTCTTTTTCGTGAATGGAAATAACTAATTGGACCCAGTTTTTATTTCATTTCTCGTCACTTGTTTGATTTTTTTTATTTATTTTATTTTCCAACGAAGACCGAAGAAGAAAGAGGAGCGAGAAAGTTGTGCAATCCGGGTTGCCGCGTGGGAGACCTGTCGCTTCAGATGAGTCTTGGAAAGATGCTGCCGAGAGATACTTAGCAGGTGAGTCGCGATTATGAAAAACGATGCCGGGAACTGTAACTCGAGTAATGGACTAAAAGCGTCTATATATTAACGATGGCGACATAAACTAACTTTTGTATATTACATTTTTTATTAATCTCGATACACGAACAATAAATGTATTTTAGTATATGCAGGATTTGAAATTCGAGTACTTGACGGTTCGCCGCAGGCGAGCTTTTTACCCTGAAAGCCGAACACCGCGGGCTGGAATGAACGAGAGACTCAATTTGTGAGAGTCATTAAATATTCCGCGGTTCCGCTAGACGAACCGAATTGATGCGTTCGTTTTCATATTTCGGTAAATAAATCGTCATCTACTCTTTATATACATGTCCAGAAATATTTTATGGTCAATGTTGTTTAACGCTTTTGTTAGTTTACAATTTTTTTTATCAATGTCTGTCATGTTTACTGTTCTTATTTTATTTATTTTATTTTTCTCTCTTATTTTCCTATGTTTACTTCTTTTGTCACTTTTCAACTCAATTATTTTAGATATTTTTTTAAACATTTTTAACACTTTTTACTGTATTTTAATTTTATTGTTTAATAGTATTTTATATAATTTAATTACATACAGAACTTTATTTTAACTCTTAAAAAAAATTCCTATTTTTAATTTTTTTATTTACAGTTTGAATGATTTTTGTTTATTATTAATTTTTTTTACTAATCCTTTTTAAATTTTAAATTATTCAAAGCAGATGAACATTAAATTTCAACTGTCAAATTACAGTTACTGTTAAAATTAAATTAATTTTTCAGTTAATGAATTTAATGAAGTAGTAAAAAGTATGACGTATTGAATTAACAAATAAATGCAATTTTAATTGAATACGAATTTATTAATATTTACAACCTTTATTACTTTATTTATTTCTTTAAATTTAATTCTACCTATATATTTGTAGAAAGTAGAAGAGTTGATGATCAATTCTGAGATACTGTTTTAATTACCTTGAAATACGACCTTTTTCAAATGATATCTGAAGGTTTTAATTTATAAGTCGAAAAAAGTTGAAGAAATTTCTGTGCTTTGCAAAAAAGTTCTCGAGAGTCTAATTAAATGTCATTGACTTTTGAAGAGAGTCTCTAAATCTTAAATAGTTCATTCCTTTTCGTTTGCGATTTTTGTCTTTTTTTTATTGATTTATATTCATCTAATAATTTTCTTTTAAGCATACATAGTAAAAATTGCTAAATTTTAAAATTCTAAAAATTTAATTGTTGTGTCTTTATCTATAGGCTTAATGTAATTATGTAAAGGTCGAAATTATTTTTTTTTTAAAGTTGTAAATCTCTATTTCAACTTCTTTTGGTGGTTTATTAATTATTTATGATTTTAAAAAATTCCGTTTTAAGGAATCAAAAATATATAATTTAAAGAACAGGATTCATGTTTAGTTTAATTTTCCATTATTTCTAAAAAATTCTGTTACTTCAATGTCAATTTTAATGAAAAGAGTTTTGTGTGTAGACAAAATTTGTTATTCTCTGCTGGATAGTTGAAAAGGCATTGTTTTCAATCGAAAGGAAAGAAAACCTTAAAATCTTTGGAATATTTAAAATTTATTTCTATTTGTGGTCAATGTCGTAATGCCTCGACCTAATTTTATTATTTCAACATATATTACAATTTACAACCGTAGCTTTCATATTTAAAATTTGATTCTTTTCTATGCTTACTGTGGTTAAAAATTCTGTTTGTCGGAAGCACTACTTCCTATATTAAATTAGAATTGAGATATTCGAATTGTTGTAATGATTTTTGAAATTTCAAGCACTTTCTAAAGGAACAGCTTGTCATTCTCGGAACTAAGCCATTCAGTTTTTCATTGTTTACCTTCGGTTTTGTTTCAGAAAGAATAATCTTTTTCTCATTCTTTTTATATATTTTTTTCCCTTCGAGTTCGCATTTTATTGTGTTCGGAAGTCACTAGTGATTCTAAGTTAACGGGGCACCAGCGAATGGCTTTCTGGAAACGAGTATTTCGCGTGTGAAAACCCATCGGGCGAAACCCTTGAATAAGAAATTGCCTTTACTTCAACACTTAGGTATAGAGAAGACTTTTTAACAAAAGATTTATTCCAGAAACTCCCTCTATCTTTCCCAATACTTAATGTTTATTATTTACCGGTGAAAAAAAATTACACTCAATTAAATGAGAAAAAAAAATTAAAAAACAATTTTAATAATAAAAGATATTGTCGCCCATATCTTTGAAAAATGAAAAATTAATATTCTCGAAATACTCAAAACCAACTTTCGCTGGTTTATTTACAAAAGGAAAAAGTAATAGAAAGGAAAATAAAATACAGGTCTTGAATTATTCTTTTTTTGTAAATATATAATCCGCGGTTAATTTTGTGTGTAGTCTAACTATTTTTAAGCTACACTTTATGAAAGGGTCGTCGAATGAAAAATAACTTAATACACCCATATTACCTCCATTCACTTTCATCTCCGAAAATTATGACATGCGAGTGAAGTCGTATTAGTGTTCGTGGTTCACGTAATAATAGGTTGTGTGCCACGCCTTACATCAACTCGAAAATTATTTTTCGTGTCTCACGAGTTAATTAAATGTCATTTTCATTTACCCCTTCAATTACATTTCCTTTTTTCTTTTTTTTACTTTAACACGATTCTTATTTGTTTTTCTAACAAAGATAATTTGAACATTTGACATCTTCTTTCTATTAATTAAGTTCAGTCTCTCCCCCTTTTTTCCTTCCCTTCTTATTATTGTCTGGCTAATCAAATTAATTGTATAGGAGAACTTTTTTCACCCTTTCTCAACTAGTGTCATTAATTTTTCAAAATCTTGCTTCTTTGAAAGAAAATTTATATTCATTTATTTATAATTTTGAAATAAATTTTGTATATTAAATTTTTTCTGCTAAAAGCCGGATGTTTTATTTATAAAAAAAATTGTGAGGGAAAAATTTGTTATGTTCATGTGTTAGCTGGAGGGTAGAATTTTAATTTACATCAATAGCTTTCTAGGAAAATACCAGGGGCAGTAGGTGGAATGGAAAAGTGGGTCTAGAAACTTGAAGGAGGGGATAACGGACGAAGATGTTACTGGGAAGATTGGCAATTTTCGCAAAATTAAGCGAATTGAATTATGTGAGGCCTGGTGACGTCAACTTTATAACTCGCTGAATTGGCGAGAAATGCGATAGCCAGTTTTTAGCATCGATATGACTTAAAGTGCGATATATATAGTTGTAGAAATTGAAACAAACGATACGTTCATGTTGATACATTGACATTAAAAAGACATTAGTGCCTCTGGTTTTATTCACCTTGAAGGCAGGAAAACTCCATTTTTCATGTCCTCTCTTTATAATTACTCTCACGATTCTGCAACGACTCTGCTTAGTCGACTTTTATTCTTCGCAATTCGAAAAAAATTTAGAAAATTATTTTTTTTATCTATTGGTTTTCACTCTTTTTATTTATTCACATTATGCATTTAAATATTTAATATTTTCTCATTTGATTTTTTTCATTATTTTAATATTTTTTTTATTAAAATCACCTGTATATATAGAACATAAAAGTACAATGTAAGTATCTACTTAAAAAAAGCAATTTTTGATCAATATAATAACTTGATTGTAAATTTTGACGAGTATTTATTAACTTTTATTGAATTCAATTTGAAGAAATCAATAATAATAAAGTATAGGTATAACAATGATGAGAGATTATTATTTTAAAATGCGTACATTTTTAATCGAAAATCGTTATATAAAGCTTCGCCTAAAAATTTCCAATTGCTCCATGAAACTAATCGGATTGAGTTTCCAATTTTGTCGACTACCGCAGAATTCACGGAGATTGATAGAATCAGATAACACAGGGACAAGAAATCAGATCCGCGATTCAAGTTTTTCAAACTCATAAATCAAATGTATTGAAAAGAATATAATTTACAGAATATTTAAAAATGCTTTTTGCAAAATTTTTCTTTTCTTATTTATCAAATAATTAAATACTTTATATTAAAATAAGGAATTCAGAAAATTCTTCTTAAGATATTTTTTCATTAATTAATTAATTTTTTCAAGCAGTCGTTTATTAAAAGAAAGTAAGTAGTAAAAAAAAATGTATTTCAAATGTTAGTAACAAATTGAATTTATAGAAATTTTTAGGAGAGTTATATAAATATTTGAAAAGAAGTGACTTAAATTTAATTTTAAAAAAGTAATTGTTAAAAGTGTATAAGATTTGTTGATAAAATTTTTGGGGTAGAAATTTTTATTTTAGTA